AAAAAAAAAAAAAAAAAGACTAGGCCCTGAAGTGCTCTGAGAATACACCAAGTAGGGCTCTCAGCGTCCCCCAGCAGAGCAGAGGTGTCATGACAGGAAGCCCGGTGGCTATTTTCCGGGTCTAGAATCACCCTCACCATTTTCACGCTGTCTCCAGCTCTCTCATTATTACAATTCCCGCCTGTCCCACACTCCATGGTTTGGCCTCTTCGTTGCCTCTGTAAACAGGAGGCAATTTGCAGGGCGAAGTGGGGACCCCCAGCGAGGCGTCTTCTCCTGCACGCTTGGCCCCTTCACTGTGTCAGAAGAGCACTGTTGCTCTCAGTAGCCTCCCGCTTTCATCCCCTCCCCATTCCCCATGAGGGATGGTGTGCTGGTGGAAACATCTCAGCTGGATGGCGTCCACGTGGGGTAGTCAGCCTGCCCTAGAAGAAGCGCTCCCACTCTGCGTCAGCACCTCTGCCGACTGCTATATTCAGTTTTGCCTCCCTGTTAGTAGTTGAATATATCACTTCTATTTTTGCACCCGCTTCTCCCGCCGTGCTGGAGCGAAGTGGCAGCAGTAGCTGCAGATGTCCTCCGCTTGGTTTGGAAGACGTGACAGATGTGTCCCTTCACCCATTTCTGTATTATCTGAGTCTCAGCCTCAAATGGCAGGGCTGAGCGTCGCCCTCGTCCTTTCCAGCCTGGAGCTTGGGCTGGGCCTGCCGTGTGGAGGATTGCACTGAAGAGCACCCCGCATCGGCACACACTCCGGCGTGGCGGCATTTGAGGGCCGTCATGCTCATGTGGTGTAGTGCTGTGTATCGGGCCAGGACTTCTCCCTGACCTGTAGGCTCTGAAATTCTTGACATGTAAATTGCTTCTCTGTGTGTAAATGCGCTCTCACTTCAAGCATACAGGCCACAGGCTGCTGTGTCTTCTCCAGACCCGCTCGCTCTGTACCACCACGCTGTCACCCAGGGTGTCTGCGTGCGTCACCCAGGGTGTCTGCGTGCGCCAAGAGTGAGCAAAGGCAGGGGCCGGACTCGTTCTTCTTGCTTTCGATGCCCTTGCTTCCTGCTGTCACCTGTGGGTCCTGCAGTGTTCCCACTCGCTCACAAGGCACTGGCAGTGTGAGCCCGGCTGCATTGCTAAGGGCTTGAGAATTCACTCTAAGCCAGACGGCACCATAAGGAAGTGCAGATCCTTCTGTTGAAGTTTGCATGAAGCACTTTATTAGGATGAGCTGATTTCTGGGTTTGCAGAGTGGCCTCTTCAGCAGTTCCCCTCATCCTGGGGCCTAGTGTCTGGCCATCGGGCTGTGTCATGGGTGGGTCTCCTCCACCCACCTCTCGGGCAGCATGCAGGGGGACAGACAGGCTTTGAAAACCCAGCGCTAATTATTATTATCATAATTACTATTACAGGGGCCATGATTCCCATCTCAGTATGGCCTCTTCCCACCCTCCATATTGGGTGGGCTTTCGACTGGGAGCCCTCCACACGTCACACCAGTCACAAGCCCAACCCATATTGCCA